ACTTTTCTGTAAACCTAAAGCTATTCTAAAACAAAAATTTTATTTTTTTTATTTTATTTTTTTTTTTTTTTTGAGACAGAGCCTCAAGCTGTCCCCCTGGGCAGAGTGCCGTGGCATTACAGCTCACAGCAACCTCCAACTCCTGGGCTCAAGCGAGTCTCCTGCCTCCGCCTCCCAAGTAGCTGGGACCACAGGCGCCCGCCACAACGCCCGGCTATTTTTTGGTTGCAGCCGGCATTGTTGTTTGGCGGGTCCGGGCTGGGGATTCGAACCCGCCACCTTAGGTGTACGTGGCTGGCGCCTCAGCCGGTTGAGCTATAGGCGCCGAGCCCAAAAATTTTATTTTTAAAAATTATTAAATACCCCCCAATCCTTAGAAATGCTAAAGGCTTTTTAAAAAATTCTCAGCATCTCAGGTTATTTTGTAAAGGTTTTTGTTTGTTTTTAAGACAAAGTGTTTATTGAAGAGTAAGTTTTCTTACAGTGTCCAAATGGACTGTTCCCTTTTTCTCTTGCCCTTCTCCTTGTCTGTATTCAGATACAGTCTTTACATAATGGGCAAGTTGTGATTTACTCTTTTGTTCCCTCCCTTTAAAAAATCCTATTATAGGCTTGGCGCCTGTAGCTCAAGCAGCTAAGGCGCCAGCCACATACACCAGAGCTGGGCAGGTGGCTCAGGCCTGTAGCACTTCCTAGCAGTCTGGGAAGCCAAGGTGGGTGGATTGCCTGAGCTCAGGAGTTGGAGACCAGCCTGAGTAAGAGTGAGACCTCGTCTCTAAAAATAGCCAGATGTTGTGGCAGGCTTGTAGTCCCAGCTACTTGGGAGGCTGAGGCAAGATAATTGCTCAAGCCCAGGAGTTGGAGGTTGCTGTGAGTTGTGATGCCACAGCACTCTACCCAGGGTGACAGCTTGAGGCTCTCTCTCTCAAAAAAAAAAACCCTATTATTCCAGATCATTTCATTTCCACATTACTGCACAGACTTAATGAACTGCCTTAATTTTTTTTTTTTTAATACAGAGTCTCACTCTGTCACCCTGGGTAGAATGCTGTGACAGCATAGCTCACAGCAACCTCAAACTCTTGGGCTTGAGCAATCCTCTTGTCTCAGTCTCCCAAGTAGCTGGGACTATAGGTGCACCACAATATCCATTAGTATTTCTATTTTTAGTAGAGCTGGGTCTTGCTCTTGCTCAGGCTGGTCTTGAAGTCCTGAGTTCAGGCAATCCACCTGCTTGGGCCTCCCAAAGTGCTAGGATTACAGGAG